TGCAGAGGTATCTCTTGTATTAAATACATGTATTTACCACCCTGTAGATCTGATATATTAACATGTGTTCATACTGCAGAGCAAAGCGTAGCCAGTCGGTCATGTTCTTATAATAACACTTTCTACACATCTGCTGAATGTGTAGTTTCTTATGGATCAGCTATAAATTTAGATTTGACAACCAAACCACACGTCTGATCTTTTACAGTTCACACATTGTTCAAATTATAAAATGATAGCAGACTCTGTTCAACAGCGTAAAGACTGCTAGCTCGTTTATTTGTATAGCTGTAGAAAAGTCTCTTGAAAATATTTATTTAGAAAAATTACCTTTTTAGGACGTTGAATGGTAGAAATGTCACGCTGCTCTCTTCATATGTTTATGTTTAACTCTTTGGCATTAGCGAAATCTGTCCAGAGTGTTTCTTAATTATCTCCACAACATGTTCAGCTTCATGGAAAGATCTTTGTTGAATCTGGTAAACGTGGATTCTGACTTGAAGACGGAACGTGAACTTGTTTCTCTGGTGCTGCAGTCGGGCGCTGCGTTGTGAGAATACGGCGCTAACGTCTTGCATTGGAACCACATGTTGCCGGTGGATGTAAGTTCTGTAGATGAGTTTCATATGAGAGTAATTCTTTGGAGACGGGTTTGGTAGTCCCTGACTATCAGAAATATTTCCACATAAGCATGCGCTGTCAGTCTGGCTTGTGTCAGCAATTTTTACTCCCTGGCAAACATTTTCAGAAGCCTGTGCGTGTGAGACAGAAGGAATATGAATTAAATTAAATTAATTGTAAACTCTATAGCCCGCTTTACAGAGTAGGAGTATTTATTTTCCTCTTGATGTTTTTATCTCGTAATGCTTTTTATATCGCTGCTTGTTTTTTAAAGGGATGTTTCAATAACATGAACATGTCTCTCAGAAATTAGCTTTGGCTCTGAATATAAAGGCCCCATGAAATATGGACGAGAGGTTTTTGGAAAACTGGTGAATCTTCATATGTGACCTCGTGCTGCACTAATGAGCACGGCTGAAGTTGTACCAATTAAAGCCGTCACGCAGTTTTAAATAACTTCTCCGCTCCTTCTGTCACCGCTTCCCTCATACTGGACCAGATGAAGGCTGCTGGAGTTCGTTCAAGCATCTGTAACTCGGGCTTCCTGAACTTGACAGGTTCCATTCGTTCCACTGTTGAAGGAGGTGAAGTGCATGTGGTGTTCTGGCTCCCTCTGCTCTATAACATATGACCATCACAAGCCGCCGCAGGCGTGTGTGTGTGTGTGTGTGTGTGTGGTTTCAGTGCCCAGATATGGTCATATGACAGATTGCAGTAGAGCTACAAGACACACCTTGGAACACACACAAGCAGAGCGTCAGATTAGAGATGTACTGAGGTCGGTCTATTGGTAGGTTCTGTCACACCGCTGGCTGAAAACCTTGTGTCCCATAATGCTTTTCAGCTTGTTTGAATGAAAGTCTTGAAACCGTATTTCGGATGTCCCTCTCCCCAGCAACGTTTGCCAGCTCTTGAGCAACCCCGAGGCGTTCCCAGGCCAGAAAAGATATAACTTAACTGCAGCTTGTTCTGGGTCTACCCCTCGGCCTCTTAACAGTTGCACTTGCCCAGAAACCTCTAAAGGGAGGCGTCCAGGAGGATCCTGATCAGATGTTGAACCACCTTAGCTGTCCCCTTTCGACGCGAAGGAGCAGCGTATCTACTCGGAGCTCCTTCTGGATGTCTGACCCCCGACTCTATCTCTAAGGCCGAGCCCAGACACCCTACAAAGGAAGCTCATCTTAGCCACTTGTACCCTTAATCTCAGCCTGTGCTTTATTAAGAAAGATAGGTGACGATGAAGATGTAAGGGGGATTTAAAACAGCGCAGGGGTTGTTGGGGGCGTGTTGTTTAAGGTATCGGTGAGACGGTGAAAAAGATTAAGGATTATCACACCTTACCTACGGGCTGGCGTTTGAAATCAGCAAATCCATTTAAACAGGTCTCCACATCCCATGCCGCTACTTAACGGCGCAACCAAACGGAGCAAATTCAATTATTGTTAGTGCATGAAGTTCGGTGACGTCACGATTCCCAGTATAGTTCCATCTTCAACCTGGGCTGAGGTCTAATCAGCCAGAATAAGTGACAACACCTGCGTGGGGGCTGCAGGGCCTTTTGCTGGTGTGTGTGTGTGTGTGTGTGTGTGTGTGTGTGTGTGTGTGTGT